GGGGGAGGAGTGGCCCCGGGTCCCAGCAGCGGGAGTGTGAACCGCGGGGACCCGGTAGGGACGGGGCCCGTGACAGTGGGCCGGGCGCGCGGCGGTGCGTGGAGGTGGGCAGGAAAGGGCACTCTGGGGCTCAGCAGCTCCAGGCTCAGGTGGGGAACCTGGACGCCACGCTGGTCACTCGCTGCTGCTGGCGGCGCCCCCAGCCCTGCTGGATCCGTCTCCGCTGGAACCTGTTCTGAACCAGCCCCCTCCCCGGGCGCGCTCCTCTGGCCTCCTCCTGCCCGGCCCACCCTTCCCCGCCTTGGACTCTCTGGGTCCTCTGACTGGTTCTCAGCTCCTCCCACTGGGGTCTGATCTCCATCTGCAGCCAGGGCCCGGCGGGGTGCCCACTGTATTCCAGGGTCCGGAGCAGTGCGTGGTGCAGGCGGTGCGCACTCAGAGCTGGTGAGCCGGCTGCTGGGCTCAGGGGCCGCGTGTCCGCCTGTGAAGCAGGAGGCCAGGGCTGGACACCGTCAGGGCACATGCTGGGGTTGCCAGCTCCATCCCCGGTAGGGCGCGTGCGGGAGGCGGTAGCCAACCAATGATTCTCAGCATCGATGTTTCTCTCTCCCCCTCTCCCTTCCTCTCTCTGAAATCAGTAAAAACTTATTTAAAAAAATAAGAAGTTATGAAAACTGAATTCATGCATTCCCTGGACAGACAGCCACTGCACAGCTATCATGTGTCAGGCACTGTTCTAGGCACAGGCAAAGGAATGGGTGGAGAGTAAAACCCCACGCCCCTACTTAGCAGCCCCCCTTCTCAGCCAGGGTGCGAATCCAGTGCCGGCCAGTCTGCTCAACCCCAGGCCTTTTTCTTCATATCTTGGTTTCTCACCTTTGTCCCAAGTGCCTGAGCTTGGTATCTGACTGACAGCCTCCTTATGAAGAGGAAAAAAGAGACAGACAAGTTCTGTGGTAGACTGGGATTAATGCTTTTATTAATGATAACATTCATACTGCATTTCTAAGATTTACATCCGAAAGAGCGTACTGTATTTACATGCAATGGACAGTCCAAGCTAACAAATTCAAACCACGGCTCCGGTAAGACCGTGGTTTGTTCCAAATTAAATTAAATACATAACACTCTTAACTCTTCCTTTCCACATGTACAGTAAAAACCCACCCTTCTGCCCTTTGAGGAATATAAAAATTGCATTGACAATGGCACTGATTAGCAAAAATATTTAAAACCTGAGAGATAAGCCCAAACATATTTGAGTGCTAACACGTGTACATCTGGATGCTAGGTAATACAGACGGGTCAGTGGTCAATAATGCACGATTCAGGTGGCTCTGAGTGACCGATGGGGCTCCGACTGGAAGCCACACTGCCTGGGGTGGAGTGGGCTACTTCCCACACCTCCTGGGCTAAGTACCACAGACGAACAGGGGGCTTTCTTACTATGGTTGTTGTCATTTTTTTTTTTTCCTGTTTTCATTTCTTCTTGCTTTTAAGAGCAAAAAAATAGTACCTTTGGCCGAGCCGGAGTGACTCAGTGGTTGAGCATTGACCTATGAACCAGGCGGTCATGGTTCAAGTCCGGGTCAGGGCACAAGCCAGGGTTGAGGGCTCAGTCCCCAGAAGGGGGTGTGCAGGAGGCAGCCCCATCGATGATTCTCACTCCTCATTCCTCTCTCCCTTCCTCTCTCTGAAATCAATAAACATTAAAAAAAAAAAAATCTTTGGCCCATTCAGACGGGGTTTTACATCTCAACATGGTCATAAACAGAACATCAGTGTGCTCTGTGGCAAGTGCCTCTCCTCCAATAGTTCAGCCCCGTCCCATGTCACCGGAGTGCAGGCCTCTCCCGGAGGTAAGCCCAGTTAGGAAAAAAGTGGTTGGAAAAATAAACACACAGTTTTTCAAGTGGACAGCTAAGCTCATCACAACAGCCAGAGACAGTGGAATTTCATTCCGGGATCCTTTCTTTTTACATTAAATACTGAAGACGACTCAGTGCGTAAGTGCTTATTTTGGTCACTCACCCTTTTTCGATAAGGCTGGGCTGAAGGGTGGGCTGGGTGAGACCCAGCACCCATCGCCCGTGACGTTTGAGCTGGTCCCCGAGGGCGCACTGCTCCCCACCTGCTTGGGAAACAGCAGGTCCTCTCTCACCAGGTGGGAGAGAACGCCCTCTGCCTGGCACAGCGGCGCTCCCTCTCCAGACCATTCGGAGGCTCCTCTCCCCCTTTCTCAAGTTTTGTTCCTCTCTCAGGGGCAGGAGTCACCGCCTGCTTGCCGTCAGCCTGGGAAGCAGTGCCGCTGAGGCACACAGGGTATTTTATTGTTCAGGGAACGCTCCGGGCGCACAATCTTGGACCGCCCATCCAACCTTCCCCATTTCTGACGCGCGCCCGCTCTCAAAAGGCAGGCGCGCCGGGGGAGCCCACGCAGCTGCCCCCGGGAGGGAGCCAGTCTTCCTAGGGGCCGGGGAACCGCAGAAACGTGCTATTTAGGGGTCAGCCGCCCAGGAAACAGGGAAGGAGCAGGACACGCGCAACTCCACCTAAAGACTTTGCAAAACAAGCTCTTCCTGGGTCCCCCCGACATTCAGGGCCTCCCGATTTTAAGGCACTGGGGTTTGAACACTCGTGAGGTCGGGAAAACTACAGATGCGCAAACTACGTGCTTGAAACGCGGACAGGGGAACACACAGGTGACCAAGCCAGACGGGGACAGTTACCCCAGGGACAAAACTGTTCAAAAGCGCAGCGTTTGAAGTTAGTGCGTTACATGTGCGTCCATCGGCTCTTAGCTGTTAACATCTTCAACCCACACGGCGCTTTCTCTCTGGACAGAACAAATGCTTTCACTCTGAAAAAATTAAACACCCATAAGTACCAGGTACCGGGTTGCCACCGAGGAAGTGTGACTGCCCCGTTTCCAACACGTGTGAAGCCACCACCCCACTCATTCCTTAATGAGCTCAGCGATATTTTCATCCCGCAGCAAACACGAGGCGATGGGAAGACTTTCGGGGGGCTCTTCCTCAAACGTCCCCCGAGTCAGGGCCTGCCTAAAAGGAGTGGGGTGATACTTCACACAGTGGGGTGGCTGTTCCAGAAACCCTAGGTGGCAAGGAAAGTTCCGAGTTTTTAAGAGCAATTTTTCTTCCTGAACTACGACCAGGAGTAATAGCTACTTTTCATTTGTGGTTTTTTGTTTTGTTTTGTTTTGAAAACAGACGAGCTCCTTTTCCTCTCTGGCAGCCGTCCCGGGAATTACTTTCTGGAGTTGGGGCTGAACCCAAACAGGCTGATGATGTCGGTCATCGCCTGTCTCAGGTGCTTCCCGAAGCGATGAGAATCCTGTCGTTGGAAAACAAAAGAGCGGACACTCGTTACAATGTGGCAATTTCCTCGTTACAATGTGGCAGTTTCCGCTCTCCAGCCTCTTCCCTGGTAACCTGACTCCAGCAGAGAACAACCTTTGACCTTTCTTTTCTGCCAAGTCTCTAATTGACTTCAGGGCTTAGTCATTCAGTGGCACGTCCTGGGGACGCGGGGAGGGTTCAGAGCTGAGCAGGTTGTGTGTGCTGTGTGGGGGTGTTTCTGAAGTGCCCCTCCCATGCTGAGGCATTCAATTCCACATACAACACAGTAGGTAAACGAGTCACAGTCTCCCCTGTTAGTGGTGACTGGGCCTTGCTGTCAGGAGATGCACAGTGTGGAGGGGACAGACTACAAATAAAGATTAACAGTGTCCTGCCAGGAAGCAGGGCCCGTGGCCCACCACACAATACGCAGACCCCGCTTCGTCGTGTGTGTGTTTCCTAGCGTGTGCACACCAATCCGCGTCCACCCTCCAATGTCACAGCGTCTGAAAGTCACACGAGGTCTCCGACACTAAGATCTACAACCACTGCTACAAGCAAACAAGCATGTAACCAAATCAGACAACTGCTTTAAAAAACAAGGCCCAGAGAATTTAAAAGTTCATTAATTTAAAAATTCATAATTACTTCATGCAAACCAAGTAAAAGTACGTAAGCCAATTGAGACTCGCTGTCAAATTAAGGACACGCTCCCCTTGAAAAAGGAAATGGTAAAAACACCCCATCTTTGGAGAAGGGGACTTGGGCGCTCACCGTCTCGGGGCAGGAGAACTTGGAGGAAACGTGGAAATTGATGAGGTTCTCTCCCACCAGGATGTAGGACACGCCGTAGCCGTCGTCGGCGACCTGCAGAGCAAAGCCGCGGTGTGAGCTCAGGCGGGACGAGGCGCGAGGGGCGTTCCCACCCCCGGCCATGGGACCCCCGCCACCTGCTTCCCGGCCTCGGCGCTGAGCGGCCCGCGAGCGCTTTGCGAAAGGCAGCGGAAAGGGAGCTGGGCGCCGGGTCCGCCTTCTAAGGAGACCCGTGTGACGGGCAAGACCAGCCGTGTTCAGCGTAGGAAACACGGGAAAAACCCCGGTCATGACGACTCAGGGAACCAGGTCGCATCTGATGGTCTCGAGGGTCGTGTTCTGAAGGGAGCCTGGCTGACCCTCAAGACACTGAAGATGCATTTAGGAAATCCAAGCTACCCTGCTGGTGTGTGGCCCAGCTGGCTGAGCCCCACCCCTCTCGTGCACCAAAAGGTCGCGGGTTCGATTCTCAATCAGGGCACACGCCCACTCACCAGTTCGATTCCCGGCCAGGGGTGTGTTCGGGAGGCAACCAATCAGATGTTTCTCTCTCTCCCCCTCTCCCTTCCTCTCTCTCTAAAATCAGTAAAAACACTTAAAAAAAAAAAAAAAAGTCCAAGCTAATTACCGAGGATGTTCAGGGCACAGACCGCCTGACTGGTTTCCACGGCATGGATCTTACCTGTGGAGACAAAATGTTCTCCACGCTCAGAAACGGCAGAGCTTGACTGAGCTCATGCTGACGCCAAGACTACCGATGGCTATTTGCTTCCTCCGTGCAAAAAACCTCATCAGAGGATGGAAACCGTGACCCGAGAGGAGCAGCCTTGGAAANTGTGGTGGTTTTACCAAAAAACCTCATCAGAGGATGGAAACCGTGACCCGAGAGGAGCAGCCTTGGAAAACGCAAGGACACGGCTTGCCAATCTACCATCCGCTCCAGGACATCTTGGTTAGAAAGTCACACGCTGAGGGAGCCCAGCCGTGAGCTGGGAAAACGCACGGAGCTTCAAGGTGAAGGTCGAAGTTCTGGAAAAGCTACTGGGGGTGAGACAGGTGCTAACGGTGAATGAGCTGAGGGACATGAGCCCCCTCGGTGGCAGGGGACGGGCACATCCTGGTCCCGGGACTTAAGGCTCTGTACACACAGAGGACCGTCCACTTACCGGCCCAAAGCCCCCTCCGCTGGACACATACTGCGGATTCCTCTCCAAATCGAACAACTCCACCTGCTGCTGAGGGGTCTGGCTGGTCGACAACCTCCAAGGCTCGGACAAGACCTGGTGAGTAAAACAAGGAAGCATTCCCATGACACTCTCCCAGTCCCCTTCTCGCTGTCCCTGGGGGGCCGAGTGGGAGACAAGAACAGGCCTGCTCGGTTTTGGACTGTTCCGGGGCGGAAACCCGCAGACGGGGTCGAGCAGGTGAGGACACCTGGGCTGGAGGGGCCGGCACCAGCTAATGGTGTCTCCGGAAAGAAAGGTGGTGGGAACACTGGGAATCGTGATGGGGCCGTGGTACCAGCTCCAGTGAGCCAGAGGCTAATTTTCAGAATTTTTTCAAGCTGCTTGTGAAAAACAGCCATTCCTAGAAATTAAATTTTATACACTTAAAATTAAGCTCTATTAACAACACAGGTAGATGAGACATACTCAGGGCTTATCCCTCCGTAATTACTTCGGTACACGGTACTATTACCCGCGCTCTGCTGGTTATTTACGCCCGTAAGTCAGGAGGGCGATCGGAGAGCAGCCAGGAGGCCACAGCTCCAGTTTCCCCATTAGGACAACGGTTAAACCCCAAGACTCAACCGTTTGTAAAGCTGCCCCACCCACTAAGCTAAGTTTAGCCGACGAGCCCGGAGGAGCTGCCCAGGAAGGCGTGACTTACCTCCTTCAGGAAGGGGGACTCGACGGCCAGGTACTTGGACACCACGTACAGGCAGAAGAGGTGCCGGTCAATGCCCGAGCCGGTCATCGCCAGGCGGTACAGATGCTGGTGCTTCTCCGACGCAATCTTGAACTTGCGGAGTCTCTGCTCCAGCTGCAGGACAGGAGGGGCAGGCTCAGGGGGTCCTTCTCCGCAGTGGTCCCTCGGGACACCGGGAATGAGGCGGCTGGAGGTGTCCCGGAGAAATAGCCAAGGAGACCGGCCCCTCCCCCAGGCTGTGGAGGAGCACTCTGGGGGTTCTGGGGGTCCCCTGTGCAGCCCGCCTGGCGGCATTACACCTTTTACACCAACGGGACGGCCACTGCTTCCCGGGCCGCCGCCGGGATGTTCGAAGGCAGCGCAGAGGGAGCCCGAGCCCCGCCTGCTGGGGCTGCAGCCACCCGGGCGCACGGCCCCCCGGATGCTCACCCCCTTCTCCCTACACACGACCACTCACAGCGCCCTGAAGCCCAACCCCCAAACCCCAGGGCCTTGTTCGTCTGCTGTGCGCTGAAGACCCTACGTGGAGTCGAAACCTGACCTGGAGCAGTTACAGGCGACACAGGACGGACAGGAACGTGAACTGTCTGCGCGTCCCGCCCGGTCCCGTGAGAGGGCGAGGGAGGGAGGGGCTGCACACCGAGTGGCTGGATGAGCAGGTGCGGCCCGGGTTCGACCAGAGACCCCGGAGTCCAGGAGAAGCGAGGAGCCCCGGCCCTTACCGTCTGGGAGGGGTCCACCATGGCGAGCACGAAGCTGCAGGACTCGACGGTGCAGGACCGCACGGTCTCTGTCCTGCCCTCGCGGAAGAGCCGGGTCATTGAGGCCTCGTACGTGAGGCAGAACTTGCCCATGTCCTGGGAAGGAAAAGGTGTTTTCGTACGAGGCCCGGCAAGAAAGCAAACGCGCGAAGCGGCCGGTTAAGGTCCCCAAGGAAAAGCGGACTCCGTGTCAGACCGAGCTTTCAGCCGCCGCCAGGTTTCACGCGGGGTTATCAGCAGGCGGGGGGGACGCCGTTAGCTTTCCAAAGGCCGGGGGTCCGTTCCCGGGTGCAGCTGGTGCCACGGCACCATTTCCTGGGTCTCCCACATCTACCCAAGTGCGAACAGTTACGGGCCGAACATGCCACAAGCAGGTCTGCATGCAACAGTTTTAAATTATTTAAAGATGGGAGGAGATATTCCACCATAGTTGGGCGATGGTGAGAACACCCAGGAGAGACACCCAGGTTGCAGCAAGAGTGGGGACGGGTCAGTAGGACTGTCCTTCAGCAGGAGGGCAGGCGGCCAGAGCCTGAGGCACAAACAGCGCCCCCCACTGGACAGGAGCGAAGGTGACACGGGAGGGAACAGCTGTGGGACTGGCAGATGGGGTGGGGAGCAGACAGGGGGTCTCTCTGGAACATTCTCATTTTTGGGGTGAAACAAGAAGGCTGCCCGCTGAGAGTAAGGGCAGGGAGAGGTGCTGGAAGTCTGAGAAGGGATGCGAACCAGGCATTGAAGGGCACAGAAAGTAGAGAGCCCGGGGGCCACCAGAGTCACTGCTCGTCGATCAAGTGAGAAGAGCCAGGGGCTCGGGGTTCTCTCTGGCCACACCGGCTTCTCGGGAGCAGGATGAAGCAGGCAGAGAGCTGGGCTGTGAACTGGGGTGGCTCTGCTGTGCTTGGGGCCACGGGCCCGAGGTAAGGGATGGTGGGGATCAAGCTGGGGAAACCTCCGGCTGCGGGAGAAAAGGGAGGGCAAGACAGGGGAGGCTGGGATCGGGTCTGGGGCTAGAAAGGGGACTGCGTGGCCGGCAGAAGAACTGGTGGGCCTGGGGTGCTGTGAGGACAGGCCAGCAAGGGCTCGGGGGAAGCAGCGGGGGGTGAGAACAGAGGCGGGGTCCCAGGAGCATGTGACACCCAACCCCACACACACTGTGCGAGGAAGTTACTCAGTCTGCCCATGGCCACCAGGTGGCCCAGGGACGGGCAGGTTCCCAACACAGGCAGGAAACTGGTAAGTGGCAGTTTGTGGGCCCAAATTATTCCTGACCAGACCACACCCCGGGCTTTCAGGTGCCCCCGGCACAGGCCCAGGTAACGCCAGGGTGACCGAGGATGCCCTGAGACACAGGGGAGAGGGTGCCAACACCAAGCTGTGTGGTCCAGGCCTACGAGCGGCCCCTCGGGCTCCTCCTCTCCCCGCGGCTGCTGGGGCTGTTGGGACACTCGCCATCCCCCGGGTCCCGCACAGGAAGCGAGTGGCCTGGGCGAGGGGCCAGGGGCCTGCGGTGAGCCCATCTCGCCCCTGTGACTGTGCACCTGCCTCCAGGGGCCACACTGAAGGCTCCTCAGACCCCAGCAAAGACCCACAACTCGCAGCCCTTGTCCCTAATGCGCCATCACTCGGTTTCCCTCGGATGGGGTCCGAGAGGCTCCAGCTCCTCATTTCACCCGGTGAGCAGGGTCCTGGGTCATTCATCAAACAGGCCTTTAGAGAGCCTCCCACAGGCCCCCTCACTACCGTGTCCTCGAGGGGACTCCTCGTGAAGCAGGGGCAGTGGGAAGGGAAAGGCGAAAGTATTAACTTGCCCTGGCCGGTCTGCTCAGTGGTTAGAGCACCGGCCTGCGGACTGAAGGGTCCCGGGTTTGATTCCAGCCAAGGGCACGTACCTGGGTGGCAGGCTCGATCCCCGGCCCCAGTCGGGGTGCATGGGGGAGGCAACCAATCGATGTGTCTCTCTCACATTGATGTCCACCCCCGCCCCCGAAAAGCAATGGGAAAAATATCCTCTGGTGAAGATTAAAAGTAATAATAAAAAAGAAGAAAGATAAATATAAAGTGCACGTTAGGTATTTTAGTCATTCAGTAAAGGTTAACCGGGCACACAAGATGCAACGATTTATTTGCAGTCAACTTGCCAGAGTCACACCTTGTCATGCACTAACCCACGACCGAAAAAGGACCGTCTGAAACCTCTCGGCAAACGCGGAGCATTAGTGTCCAGGCCCCTGAGAGCCGAGCTCGTGACGCCTGCGGCCCCACCTAACCTGCCGCGGCCAGACAGCCGCCACCAGGCACCTCCAGCGTCTAGCGAGCAGGGTCGACAGACACCGTCTACAGGACAGCCACCCGGCCAGCGTGAGAGCAGGCCGGCTCCGCACCGGGACCGCCGCCTGCGCCCACTGTGCGGCGGGGCGCTTCTTCCCGCTTCCTAACGGAAAATTAAAAACATGACCAAAAGCAGGAAGGGAATGGCTATAGACTAAAATTATGACCCTGCCCAGTGTCTTAAAGAGTAACTGTGATACAGGCTTATGCAGAGAAATTAGAAAAAAATTTAAGAAAACAAAGGCCGACCTTCACAGCACCAACCGCCAACCCTTCTCATCTCTCGTTTCTCGCTTTCCTGACCAGTAGAGCGAGAGTGGGAGACGTTTTCTGTAAAATGCGGGTGGAAACTGTCGCAGCCTCCGTGGGCCGGACAGTCCCTGTCTGAGCTGCTTTCGCTCAGAAGCGGCCGCGGACAATCTGCCACAAGCGGGTGTGGCTGGGGACCCACAGGACCTTCTCTACGAAACCCTGAAAATTCATTCATTTGATTTTCACACGTCACAAAACCTTCCTCTTCTTTGGGTATTTTTTCAGTGATTAAAAATGTAAAACCATTCTTAGCTCAGGGGCCAGGCAAACTCAGGGAAAGGGCTGATGGGGCCAGGGGGCAGCCTGCTGGTCACTGTAACAAAGGACTGGCCCTCACACCGCGTCACGACCAAGCGTTTTCACAGAGAACGTTTCATAGTTACGTTGCGTTCACTGCAGGCGACCACAGTTTAAGAAGTTTCACACGGCTCACCTGAGATTGCTTCCGATTTTTACGGAGGGGCTCAGACAGTCCCACCTTGGTGCACCTGTCCCCAAAGGACACGGTTCTCACGGGAGGACTGCGGGCTGCGCCACTGGACGCCCCGGCCGCCTGCAGTGTCCTCTCTCCTGAAGCCCGGGTTTCTGCTCCGACTCAGTTTCCCCATCAGGCCGTTTACTTTCCCCCAGATGGAGCCAATCTCCCCAACGCCGTTTACTAAGCCAGTCATCCCTCCACCGGGCTCACAGTCGGCGGCCTCTATGGCCTCACCCCTAGAGCCACGGGCTGGATACTGACACGTGAGGACATTTCCCAAGTTAGGAAACAGCTCCTGTGACTAAGTGACCGGGGATGGGCGTGTATTTCAAATGCCTTTTTAGTGTCCGTCACGTGGCTCGTTTCTTCTCCCATCTAGTAACATGACCTATTACTGGATTTACTAATATCCACCCCCCCCCACCCCCCATCCCTCGCTGGTACAAGCTGTAGCTGGCGATAAGGCGTTTTGGGGACTGGTGGAGTCCACTTGCTGAAGTTGTTTCAGGCTGTTTGCATCTATAATCACGAGTGGATTTAGCCCATGTCAAAGGTCAGACATCCAGTCACCTGCCCTAAGCATTTCCACCTGATCAAACCCTGGGAGTCGAGCTGATTTTAAGGTGCGGGTCTCCCCTTTGTGGAGCAGTGAGATCTCACTGTGCTTCACCCCGATTCTCCTGTCCCATGGGACACGGGGCATTGCCAGCACCCTGCAGGGGCTGTGCTAACGCCTGTGGCCCGGCCCCGTGGAGCCACACCGACAAGGCCGTGCCCCTCCCAGGACAGGTCCTCGCCCAGCACGGCCTGGCCTCTCTGGAACAGGTCCCCGCCTCCCCGTGCAGGAACCAAGCCCCCCACGGCGCCCCCCGAGGCTTCACCTTGTAGTGCGCCAGCTGCAGGGCCAGCTGGACGAATGCGTCGGGGCTGGTGCGGCACTTCTTGATCAGCCCCTTCCCGAAAGTGTCGAAAGGAAAGGAATGGAAGTCCACGTCGTTGGCCAGGAGGTTGGCGCTGGTCAGGGACGTCTCGATCACCTCTTGGCACTGGAGGGAAAGGAGAAAAGCTTTCCTTTGTGGGGGGAAGTCGGGCACCCACCCGGAGGGAAACCACAGGCTCGCCTCAGGGCAGCTCCCAGAGTTGCGGCTTAGAGACAAACAGCACGTCTTCTCGTTGGTTCTCTCCTGAAAGCTTATCCAGGGGCTGCAATGTGTCAGCAACACGCACCCGCCCCTCCTCCAGGAGCTGTGGGGTCCCCAACGCAGGCAGAGCACAGGTGGGATACGGGGGCTTCCTGGTCCCAGGGGGACCCCAAAGGGCTTTCCCAACAGCCACGGATGTGTTTTGTAAAATCCATTATTACACCGTGGTGATCGAGAAACCCATTTTAAAAAATACACGGACTGTGATCCAACCACACAGTGGAAATGAGCTTCCGAGTCGTGACATAGCGCGGAGGAGTCTTAGCTGCAGACGGCCAAGCGAGAAGAGCCAGCCCGAGACAGCTGGACGGTAGCACCCCGACCAGCGACGTCTGGAAAAGGCGGAGGAAGGGAACGCAGGCCGAAAAGAGGCCAGGGGCAAGGCTGAAGCACTGGACCTCTTATTTTCTACACCGAAAATGACTTCTTGCCCTCAGTGAAGTCGAATCATACAATTAGACTAAAAATCTGGTGTAGCCCTGGCTGGAGTGGCTGAGTTGGTTGGAGAATCGTCCTGTACACGGAAAGCTCAGGGGCGTGATTCCCGGTCAGGGCACATTCCCCGGTTGGGGCCTACGGGAGGCAGCTGATCAGTGTTTCTCTCTCTCCCCCTTCTTCTCTCTGAAATCAATAAGTGTGTCCTCAAGTAAGGATTAAAAAACACACACAAACCTGGTGTATGCTGAGGTCTGCACGGGTGCATTATGGATATTTTTAAAAACAATTTCCAACCAGAGGGTTTTAAAAGTACATTGCTGAAAATTGTTCCTTTCATCAAATGAGAAATAAATATTTTTTTAAGTTAAAAAATATACTTCTTGGGCCCCAGGAATTCCTGCTTGGATTAGATGAGCCAGGATTTGGTGTCTCCAGCCCTAAAATTCCTTCCGGAAAGGCCTGTGCTGAATGAACTACATCTGAGAATCCTTAGGAGAAACAAACACGATAAATGAGCGACTTAGAGCCTTTCAGCTCTAACGAAACTGAGTTCGCTTTTCACTCACTTTTTCACTGTGATGTGTAGCTAAGTCTGCTGGAAATCTCTCCCTGACAATCTCAGCTAAAAGCTTCAAACGGAAGAATAAGTATTTACTGGGTTTTCCAAGGCAACAGGAGCCGGAGCCACTCCATGGCCCCAGCAAACATGCGTCAGGTGGCCCCGCACTGAGCGGTGGACACTCCGGAAGGGCTGGGAGATCCCCGCCCCCGGCAATCAACACCTGTGAGTCCCACCCCCGGTGACCAACGGCCGTGTGACGGCCGCACTCACCTCCTCCGGGATGTCCCACTGCAGCCGGGTGGGGTGTGGAATGTTCGGGTTGGTGTCCCCTTTACAGTGCCCGTCCTCCAAATAGCCCAGCTGAAAGCTGTCGGTGGCCAAAACGTACTGTTGGGGAAAAAGAGACATGTGGAAAGTCAGAGAAGTAACAGTTCACAGTGCTACATAAAACGTATTTGCTGCCCGGCCGGTGCGGCTCAGTGACTGAGTGTTGACCTTTGAACCAAGAGGTCACCGGTTCGACCCCCAGTCAGGGCACATGCCTGGGTTGTGGGCTTGGTCCCCAGTAGGGGGCGAGCAGGAGGCAGCCGACTAGTGTCTCTCATCGATGTTTCTCTCTCTCCCCCTCTTCCTCTCCCTTCCTCTCTCTCGAAAATCAATTAAAAAACATATATTAAGAAATAAGTTAAATAATGTGGTGAAAGGCATGCTGTGTTTTTATAAACCAAGATTTTCAAGTGCCTGCTTCTATCTGGCCTAACACTTGGCAGGTTAGGAACATCTAGAAAATACAGCAAAGGGCCGGTGTCTTGCAGAATAAATGGAGCTCTGGCTCCGCCCTGAGTCACTGCCACTCATCCTCCGAGCTCTGTCAGGAGGTGGCATCACCTGTGTTTCCAGGTAAGGAACCCAATTCGTGGGAAACGAAGCCCCGAAGCCTCCGGGTGCTGATTTAACTTTATGCGCAGCGCCAGTCCCTGCTGGGAACTCATTATAGTCACACAGCTGTCACAACATGGAATTCACTCCGGGGGTGGACTTCCAACAGCCACCCCTTCACTCAGGTTAAACATGCGAAACTCACCTCCCAGAGGTGCCCCACAATGGGTGCGTCGGCCCAGGAGTGCTCGGCGTTCATGCCTATTTTCCCGTTTTTGAAGACGATAAACGTGAAAGACTTATCAAACCACCTACGGGAAACAAAAGCGTTCATGGAACTTAAGTGTCGGGAGACACAAAATAAACAGAAGCTGTAACTTTATCTGATTCTGGATGGGCTCCCGGACTTTGCGCCCAGCCCTCGAAGAGTTCCCAGCGGTCAGCAAACCTGTGGAGTGCCATACAGGCTCACACAGGACGCGGCCTGACGTCATGCACGCCCCCCTGGTCCAGACACACAGACAAGCACTCACGTCCTGGGCACCGGACGGAGGACAGGCCGTGTTATCGTAACGGGCAAGGGCACATGATGGCAACTGTGGGGAGACGGGAGGCTGCCGTGCCTGCGCCTCCCCCGTGGACTGCGGCCCCCGCTTACAGGTAAGGAAAGGCGGCTCTGGGGGTGCAAACGCCTCACGCCCGTCCCAGGGCCAAGCCCACACCCAGGGCAGGCCCGGGGGGCCGGCAGCCACGCAGCCTCGCTCACCAGCATCTCAGCGGAGGTGGGTGCAGAGGGCAAGAGCCTTAAATTTGCTGCCTCAGCTGTGTGTGTGTGTGTGAGAGACGGACAGACAGGCGGACTGATTTAGACAAGAGACAGTTTGGGTGAAGAGAGGGAAATGAAAAGCTGTACTTTCACACTAGCCTATTCCTTCAGGGTGCAGGTGCCCGAGGCCGGGGCGGCCACACACGCCTCTCCCACCATCACGGGCAGGCGGCCGACTCCCACCAGTCGAGGACGGTACCTGTCGAAGCACCTGCCGTGCAGGAGGGACTTGGCGTAGCTGTCCATGGACGTGTCCGGGTCCTCCCTCCTGTACCCCTGCTCGGTCTCGTCCAGGGTCACGAAGAACGCCGCCTTCTCCACGGCGTCCAGGGACTGCTTGTTCTTCCCACGAGCGAAGTGGGCTTGGCGACACCTGGCCCAGGGCACCCTGCAGGGGGAGTGCAGCTCAGCCTACAGCAATCTGGCGGCGCCGCCTCGCACGTGATGTTTGCCACGGCATCCCTCTCCAGGCCCCGCCGGTGTTTAGGAACTTTTACGTTCTGGCAGCGGAAGCCGCGGCCAGGCTCTGCTCCGAGCCTGTTCCGCGGACGGCTCACTGATCTGCACGACCGCGCCCCTCTTTCAGATGAGGAAACCGAGGCACGGAAATGAGGTCACAGCTACTGTGCAGCAGGGAGGGGTTCAAACCCGGGCCAGCCTGCCCCAGTCCACACTACTAACAACACAGGACATCCCGAGATGAGGGACAACTGGGAGCCACGTTCGAAGGAGTCTTCTCCCTCCCACACGTGGACCTGACCTGACACCCGGCCGTGGCTTCCCCTGATCGCTCCCAGCTTCTCTCGCCCAGGCCTTCCCCAGGTCCTGCGCCCCTGACCACGTCCAGATCACGGTCCTCTGGCCTGTCTCCCATCGTCTTCTCTCCCCGAGTGCTTGGGTGAGGTACCCGTGGTGCCAAAAGGTCCCTAAACACGACAGGTCCCAACACCCTCCCTGCCTGGACCCCTGCCCACTGAGCCGGGAGACGAGAGACAATGGGCATCTGTGCAAACGGCTCAGGTAGGTGACGCGGGTAACGCCCCACCCAGTAAACATCAGGGTGAATCCGGACGGGCGTGTGGTTCCTGGGTACCCCCACTCCTTGGCAACACCTGCCCCAAGGCGCCTCCGTCCAGCTCACAGCCCTGCTGATGCCCATTCAGCCCTCGGGACGTGAGGCTCGTTTCCCAGGACGCACGCCTCCCGCCAGACGAGAGCCCAGAGGCTCCCCCACAGCCGGAGGGGCCACGCACCTTTCTCCCGCCGTGAGGGCCGCCAGCTTTGCCTCCCCGGGCTGAGGCTCGGAGGGGTCGTCCAAGATCCTCTGCATCTGCTGCTCGAGCTCCCGGGGCCTCAGCAGCCGGCCGTCATGGTACAGCCAGACCTTGAAGTAGCGCCCCCTATGGAACACCACGATGTGCTTGCTGTCCCGGACGTGCTGGATGGTGTCTGCGGCGGGCATGGGCGAGACAAAATCCACAACGGGTTAGAGGGGGGGAGACAGGCACAGGCTTTTCCACGGCACGGACTCTGCACCCCACACGCCTCCACACGGCTCCCGCGTCCATGTCTCCTGTCTGTGGGGTGTTAAGTACAGGGTCAGAGCTGAGCGCTTTGGAACCAGACAGGCCCGACCCTAGGCTCTGCTCGGCCACCCTGAGACGCATGGGCTTGGGGCAGTCACTTAACCCTCCCTGAGCCTCCACTGTCTCATCTGTAAAATGGAGCTACTAGCGTGTCCCTCATGTGGACGTGAAGGGGCTAAGAGACAGGATCTTGCCCCTGGACTTAGAGGCAGAGCCCTCAGCTTCTCACTGTGTGTATGTCAGCTGTGGGCTTGTCACACATGGGCTCTGTTAGGTTGGGGTGCATTCTCTCCACTTTTATTCAACACAGTACTAGAAATCCTAGCCAGAGCAATAAAGCAAGAAAAAGAAAAAGGCATCCAAATTGGAAAGGAAGAAAAAACTGTCATTCTTTACAGATGACATGACATTGTGTACAGAAAACCCTAAGGATTGCACCAAAAAACTGTTAGAACTAATAAACAAATTTAGCACAGCCCTGGCCAGGTAGCTCAGTTGGTTACAATGTCGTCTCAATACGCCAAGGTTGTGGGTTCAATCCCCAGTCGGGGCACATACAGGAATCGACCCATGAACCCATGAATAAGTGGAGCAGCAAAAACCGGTGTTTCTCTCTCTTTCTCTCTCTAACGATCAATAAATTCAAAAAAATGTATTTAAAAAAAACTCAGTATAAAGCTACAGGACATAAAAATCAGTTGCATTTCTAGACACTGATAACAAACTACCGGAAAGAGAAATTAAGAAAAAAAAAAAATCCCATTTGCAGCTGCATCAGAAAGAACAGAACACCTGGGTCTGGGACGCTGGCGAGAGGCCCGAGGCGCCGCACTCACCGGTCTCCTCTCCCGGGACCCGCGACGTGTTGAACATCCTTTCCCACTGCGCCGAGCAGAGCGGGACCGTGGACCCCAGGAGGAGAATCTGCGACAGAAATAACGCGTCGAACAAGCGAAAGCTCCACAGGGGCAAAGGAGCACGTTGACGGCTCCCAGGTGACGCTGGCTTGTGTTCGGGGCACGTGGCGCGGTCGGGCTTAATCTCTCCCTAACTCCGTAAGGAAAAGCCACTCCCGGGGGGCGCGGGCGTCCCCGGGGACGTGCCGGGCGACGCCAGCCCACAGCCGCCCATGTCGTCACCTAAACAACACCCTCTAACCGGTCAACACGTGAACCGACGGGTATTTACAAAAGAAATGCCTTGTTCCTCTTGAGTTCAACATCTAAATCATTCTCCTTCCAAAGTAAATAAGGGGCGGGGGGCGAGGTTGGAAGGACGCAGGGATTGAGCAAAAAAGAAAAAAAAAGAATTCATGGGCACGGTCAACAGTGTGGTGCCTCCCGGCGGGGAAGGGGGCCGGTGGAGGCAGGAGGGCGTAGAGGGAATAGATGGCCATGGGATAAATAAAATAAAATAAAATAAATAAAATAAAATAAAGAATTTCCTTTGTACTAAAAATAAAGTAAACAAGAGTTTCCTTGAGAGGCAAGTTACGTAAGTACATCGGCCGTATCCAGACCAAAAAAAAAAAAAAAAA